AAAATCATTTGTTATGGATTAAAAACTGGTGGTCAATTTAACACCAGCTGAATTAAATCAGCATGGTGCTGAGTGTTGCTGGTCCACCTGAGGAAAGTTGCCAGCATAAAAGGAGATGTGGGGAAAAGTGGGGTGTTGTGTGTTCTCCTAAGTGTTGTTTGGAGCCATTGGTTCTGGAGGAGCTTGTCATGGCTAGCAACTCCGAAATGAATTTAGCTATTTTCATTGGAAGAGCTCAGGACCTTATCACTGAGAATGGCTGCGGTTCACTTTGGAGGAACGCTGGTCCTTACATTGAGCATCCCTTCTTGGCTCCAGAGGGCAAGATGTGTGCTGTTTAATCTCCAGCAGAAATTGGCACGGTGGCTTCCTGATATGTCACACTTGAATTCTGATCGTTGAGGAGCTCGGGACCTCATTGTCACTGAGGATGGCTGTGGTAATTTTCAGGGATGCCCTGGTTCTTATTTTGAGTCATCGCTTCTTGGTTCCACTGCAGAACCTTCAATCTACTGCACAAATCCTTCACCCTGCTGGCGTAGACTTTCTAGCTTCTACCGATGACCTTTGGGCCTTCTCTGTATATCCATAAAACAGACTTGAATGGGTCATTGTCATGGGCTCTAGGTTTTCAGCTGGACTCATGCAGAACATTGCTGTGGGATCCAGACCCTTGGCTGGATTTTCTAGATCTTTAGTGTGGTGAACAGATTTCCTGCATTTTCTCTATTTAATGCTGGGTGATTATCATAAAATAGTATAAATTCTGTATCCTGTATGTAGTTGTTTTCCTTGCAACCCCTGCCTACAACATCATCATTGTAAATTCTTTGTAAATTATAAAGCATTGTATTTCTATAAGGGTAGGAGAGGAGAGGGCTTATAGGAATTACTTGGGACCTTTTTGAAAATAACTTTCTCCACGTTCACCTCCTATTCCCAGTAATGCACCAATATACAACTATATTTGTTTTAACAGCTGCTTCCTAAATGTAAATAGTTTGTAACTGTTTAATTGCTTTTATTTAAAGGAATTCCACATTCTTCTGTTGAAAGTGGAATATAATGCAGTAACACACGTTGAAGAGTGCAAAATAGTGAGTGACTTAAAATCCGTATTCTGTGTCATTCTGTACAAACTTGTGACATACTGATTTTCAGAGAATGTGAAGAAAATGCTACTAATTGCTGTTGAAACCAAATTTAAACCATATAAATTATGAATGTAATTGAGGAATGTAATGCATGTCTAGTAGGTGCCATAGAGATACAAGTTTGTAACTTGGAGGACATCAGCAGTGAGATTTCCTGATTTGGGGGTGAATATTATTAGCTTTTTAGGAGATTTTGGTGTTGCTGATTAGTAGCCTGTTAAGTTTGATACGGGTTTTTTTAGTCTACAAGTTTGAGATTCAGGACACCATTCAGTAATCTAACTGAAAACTGGAGAAATCTGCAACTAAGGCATGGCGTTACATTAGAATAGGAAATTTAGCTGGAAACTAGAGTTGGTAGTAAAGGGTAATTGACTGAAGGTTCTAAGGATGTTGCAGTTTGGGGGACTTGATATATAATATCATTTTCCCTCTCTGAACTCTTAGCAGACTGAGAAAACAGGAATCAACAAGTAAAGAAACAAGATGCAGGAAACACCTTTTATTAAAAAATATTTTTTAACCAGGTAAAACTTAGCATGCCATACAGTTTTCTATTTTAGAGTGTACAATTCAGTTTTTAGTACATTCACAAAATTGTGTACTCATTACTATTAGAATATTTTCATTAGGTTTCATCGGGGGGGTCGTTTGTTTTTGTTTTTTGAGACAGGGTCTTGCTATGTAGTGAACTCACAGCAATCCTGCCTCAGCCTCTCGAGTGCTGGGATTATAGGCGTACACCACTATACTAGGCTTTCATTAATTCTTAAACCTCTTAGGAGCCAGTCCCCACCAATGACTCCTTGGTGTTCAAGTTTTTTGTTAAGTAAGTTATATCCACCTACCATGCAATTTTTGGAGAGGAGTAAACTACTAGTAGTATTTAGAGAAGTCATATCTCATAAAACTGAGTCCAACAGAAGTTTTCTTCTCTAACAAATGTGAAAATTAAGCTAGAAACCCAAAGGCCGTGCTTAGATGAGAAGGCCATGCCACTTTATCAAGATAGGAAGTACATTAAGTAAAGATGATGAATTCAATTTCAGACAACGCAAATTTGGAATTTCAAGGAAGGGATATTAGATATTTATGTTTGGATAGCAGATTATTCATCCCTGCTGGAGACAAAGATTTTGAGATTCATCTGTATACATGCGATTACAATAGAGGGCCAAGTAAAGCACTCATACAATAAAAACAGAGCAATATCTTTGGTTTTGATTATGCTAACTGGTGTTTCTGCTGTGTATTGCTATGAGTGGCTTGCTTCTTTCTGGGTTTTATGACTGATTGAATTAATGTATTCACATCATTAATTTTATGATCCTATTTGTGGAAGTTTTTTAAAGGCCTAAGTCAAAGAGGATTCCCTAGGGAGAATTTGCATTTGCATGTGTTGAGGTTGAAAAGGAAAACTGCCATCCTGCAGTCACTGTAAACAACTTCTAAGTATGAAGCTTTTAAAATCATAAACATGGGGGAAGGTCAGAATATGGTTGTGAACTATCAGAGGAAACACCACTGCACTGCTGTCTTACCCTTATCTCCTTGTCTACACCTGGTGCCAATGTTAAAAATGTAGTTTTCAGTCTGGTGTGATGGTGTATATTTGTAACCCCAGCCTGAGCCTGGAGCTTCTGACGTTTGAAACTAGCCTGCTTTACATTGCAAATTGCCCATCTCCAAATCCCCTCACCTGTAACCTCTCCTCTTCCAAAGCAGTCTTCCTTGTAATTCTTTTGGGTAAGACCTGAACTTCGCTACTTTTGCTGGACCTCAAGAGGCTTCAAATTAATTGAAAATTGGAATTCATATAGTTTGATAAATGTCCTAACGGTGAAGGAAAGCTAGTTTTAGTACTCTGCATATCCCCCTAATTCCCTGCTTATAGTTAGTTTTTGACTTCTGATGATACCTAATTTTTTGTCAGGTTTTTGATTCATTTGTAAAGATTTGAAAATAGATTATCTAGCATTCTAGTTATTTAACTGAACATGGTGACCAAGCCATCTATCATGTCATCCTGGCAGAAATAAAATCATGTCTGTCCAGCGTATGCAGGACACTTAGTTGTTGGTAATTTAGTTAGCTTCTGAATTAAGTTATAAACTTAGAACAGAATCCAGTGTTTTTGTTGGCTTACATAATATTTAGAAAATAAAAAATCGATTTTTAAATTAGATTTTGGATTTCTTCTTTTGAAAAACTGAAAGTTCTTACAATAATGGGCTGAGCAGGATTTGGTGACACATGTCTGTAATCTCAGTCTTCTGGATGGCCGAGAAAGGAGGATTATAAGTTTGAGCTTTCTGTCTACGGAGCTTAATAACTGAGCAAGGTTCTGTTTCAAAAAATCAGGAACTGAGGATGTAGAAAAGTGCAAGACTCTTGAGTTCAGTGCCCAGTACAAACCAAACCTCACCCTGCGCCCCCGCCCAAAAAAAACCTCTCCCACCAACAAAACAATGGGCCTAAAACACTCTTTCTTAGCAGTTGATTAGAGCTGACAGTAGAAGGCGACTCCTTCCTTTCAGACTAAACGTGGTCTCTTTAGTTGTTCAGTCTTATATCACTTGTGCAGTGTATTCACACATATACATCAATACCTGTCCTAACTTACTTCATTTATATTAATGTCTCAGTTATTTTTCTCATTGCTGAGACAAAACACCTGGCACCCTCAAGTTAAAGGAGCAGAGATTTATTTCAACTCACAGTTTGTAGGAGTTTCAGTTCATAGTTGGCTCCACGGCAGATGGGCATGGGAGAAGGGCATCAGAGGAGATGCAGTCCATGGCAAACAGGCAAGAGATTTGCAAGCCGTAGCAGCAAGTTTGCCTGCTTTCTGTTCCTTACTTGTATGTTCCATTTAGGCTACAAGTCTGTTGATTGGTGCCGCCCTTACCCATGGTGGGGTTTCTGTTATCCATCCTTTTAATCCCAGTGTCACACTCTTAATCCACATTCACATACTTTAATCCAGCCACCTTTGAAACTCTCTGTGAGCACATGGGAGTTTGGAGGGGAGGAACATCTAGATGTAAGTCATAATAACAAGAATCTTTGGTGTTTGTGAATCATCCTTTCTCTTACGAAAATATTCAACACTGGCACATCCTTGGGAGAGTAGCACTAATAGACATTTTCATATATGTTCACTTTATTACTTAATTCTAACAGCAAATCTGCAATGGTAAAGCTATAAAAGTGTTATACAGGTGTTCCATTACCAAATTTCAGATAAAGAAACTGAGGTTTGTTGAGGTTATGTGAATTCTTTAAGGTCTCAGCAGTGTTTCAAGTTAGAATTTAAATCTAGAATTCATTCAGACAGAGCTCCTTGTGTTCCAGTGTTAATCTTAACTTTTTTTTTAAACAATGGAACTATTTCTTCAGATGTTTTAGTGACGTTTAGTAAATAAAACCAATGAAGGTGGCACTGCTTTCATTGAAGAGATACATGAATGGGGGAGCAGTTAATGTTGGAACCAGAGATCTGCATGCCCAATTTGATGAAGGCTTAGGCACCTTTGTGGAATGCTTGGGATTTTCTAAATAATTTGGATACACTAAGCATTATCATTTGTCAGATTATGAAATCTCAGCTCATTTGGATGTCACAGTTGTAGTATGCTTGCTTCTTTTTTTACTCTTCCTGATGTTTCTTCTATAATACCTCTTCCTATTCAGTAGCATTTCTCATTCATGTGAGTTTGAGTTCTGATAATGGTTGTTCTTTTAGTATTCTATTTTGTTTTTCACAGTTTTAATTAGAATTGTAATGTGATTTATAATTTAATTTATTTTGGAGCATCTAATAATTAACTCTTGTTTACTTTTTAGATTCTCTTTGTGGCCAGATGGGTTTGTATGGACAGACTTGTCCATCTGTAACTTCATTAAGGTGAGTGTTCATTTCTTTTTCTCAACACTTAAAAGTAAACTCATTTGACACTGTATTTCAAGGTGAAGTTCATAATAAAACACTGCATCTTGTTTTGTCAAGTAGTGCACTTTGTATAGTGGAGAGATTTTCTGCTTACAGAGATTTTTGTAGTAATGAGATTTGGAAATATTTGTTTCCATTAGTAAGTTTAGTGAACTGAGTGAACTTAGTAAGGTTATGGTTATTTACATGAAATAACATAATTTTACACTTCCTTTGTTGTTTCTTAGCTTTGTATTTGTTTTAACCATAAAATAGTAAATTTTGATTGTTCGTAGCAAATTATTAAAAGAGACTAAAGATACTAATTTTATATTATCCTCTTTTACAATATGTAAAATACGTGAAAAAGTAAAAGTAAGTTATTGTATACATTTCAATGGTTTTAGAATTTTGAAGTCACCAGATCCTTCCTACAGGTTAACTTTTACGTGAAGTTCAATGAATAATGTAGGTAACATACTCTGCTTACTTAGACTTCCATATCTACTTTCATAGTATCTTTTGAGGGATTTTTGTGGTTCCAGTAACAATTTGAAAAATAACCTAAACCTGATTTTTAAGTTGTAACCTTTTGGAGTAGAATATAAAGTGTGATGACAGCATCTGTTAGTTACATGTGGTGTTGCAGTCAGTCCTCTCATTCATTTAGCATATCAAATACCTGGTGCGCTATTTAACACTATCCCCATAATCGTGGAATATACCTACTAGTGGAGAGAAAATTAACAAAACAAGTAGAAATATCTGTTAAGAGAGTGACAGTGATTAGGGCTAAGATAATTAAAATGGAGGACAATGTGAAGTAATGAGGATATGTGTTATTTTAGATAGGGTAGCCAGGGAAAATCACAGAGAAGGTGACAGTTGAACAAAGAACTGAAATAGTGATGGAATGAGCCTTATATTAAGTATGTGGAAGATGACCATTCTACCCCGAAGAAATCCAAGAAGTGCCCAGGCAGAAGGTTTCTCTGTGTGTTTAAAAAATATTGAGGTCTATGTGGCTGGAGCAGAGCTGGAAGAGAGTTGGAATTATCTTGTTACGGAAGACATGAGAGGAGAAAAGACAGATACAAAGTTACTAGAGCCATAAGTGTGAAGCTAAGGAATCCTTAGGATTGAGAGAGATTCTAGTTTTCTAGAATACTACAAAAAGAAAATGAACAGTGAAGCTGTTATTTCATTTTTATGTACTTCTTCCTCAGTAGAAAAACTTTGTGCTTTTATGGCATTTCTTTCTATGGGAGTGGAAATAGATGAAAAGATTGCTTTTCTATTTCCCTTGAGTTTTTTTCCCTTCCTCTGTAAATAAGAGACATCTGAATAGCTCTGAAAAGAGCTTTTTTTTTTTTAATAAAAAGACTCATAATTTCTTTAATCTTCCAAGCTGTTGTAGAACTAATTTGACTCACTGATTTCCTTTTAGTATGATGGAGATAGTCATTTTTCTCTCTCTTTCAATACTGTATTTAAAATTTGGGAATGGTTTCTTCAGGATATTTTGATCTTCCAGTTAATATTTTTCCTTAAATATGTTTTAGTGGTGGGGTTACAATGAAACAGTCATATTAAGGCTGTTCACCAAGTGGATATTAAATATGTAAGTCAAGGTAGGGAGTGGAATGGAAGTGTGTGAAAAAAAACTTTGGACACAATTAAGATAGTAAATGAATTATAGTTGTTCCCCCAGTCATCCTAAATATTTAGAGTAAGTATTGTTTTCTTAGAGATGATATTGGTTCTTTGTTTAATATAGAAATGTATTAGGATTTTGTTGTTGTTTTTTTGTTTTAGTTTTTGGAAATTAGGGTCTCACTGTGTAGCTTAGGCTGGTCTTCAGCCCACTGTGTAGTCTAGGCTGTCCTTGAACTTGTGGTAATCTTCATGTCTTCAGCCTTCCAAGTGTTGAAATTATAGGCATGCACTACCACTCCTGACTTTATTAGGATTAAGAATTCTTACTGTATTTTTAGGATTAAAAAGTAATACTTCATAGAAAGTATGGAAATAAGAAGTACCATTTAATATTTTCAATTCACATAATTTTATTTGCTTATTTACTTTTAAAATGTCTTCATTTAACATAATTTTATTCATTTATTTACATTTTTTGAGACAAGGTTTCACTTCGTAGTTCAAGCTAGCCTTGACTACTTTGTCATCCAGATTGACCTTGATCTCATGGCAGTCTTCCTGCCTCATCTTACCAAGTGCTGGGATTATAGATGTATGCTACCACCAGCTAACCTTACATTTTAATGAAAGTTACAGTAGCAATGTTATATTCTGTATGAGACAGTTTTGTTTCTTTAGTGTTCTTAGCCTAGGCAAAATCCATACTAGTAATTTAAACAGACATGCTTTATAGAGAGAATTGGTAACTAGATATAAAGTTGTTAACTAAGTAATAGAAAAGATAAAAATAAAACTTGTATGAAGATAAGACACAGTAGGGTACCAGGTACTACCTATCAGATTCAAGGACAAGGAAAAAACTTAGAAAAGAAAGCCCCTTTGAACTGAGAGTTAGACCTACTAGGAGAAACTGCAACAACACTTACGCTGGTGTCTGAGCTTGGATGATGGGACCTGTCAGATTGACAGCCAGATCTCTGTTGGGGGGATGCTAACATGAGTTCAGATTGTGATGGATGTAGTTTCTGTGAAACAGTAGAATCTTAAAAATTTAGCATAATCTATTTGATTCCTGAATTTCAATAAGCTGGATTCAAATCCCAAAGAACTTTTATTTCTGAGCAAAGTTTTAATAAGATCAAAAGCTTACTGAATAGTTTATCTAGACAAGTAAATACGATGTATATATCACATGACTTCTTTCACATAATGTAGCAACAGACTGGTTTTATAATTTGATTTTGTCAAAGCAAAATAATTTGTTTCTTTGGGCCTGTTGAGACCCTGTATTTCTCTCAATTACCTAGCATATTTTAGAGTATTGATTTTATGGTTCACATATATATATAGTTTGAGACACTGGTTTACAGTAGCACTTGAAGTAGTTTCTAATGACAATTACTAATCTTTCTGAAACTGCTTCCCCTTTTTCCATGTTTTTCTTGCCTGTTTTCTTTCTGTTAATGCTTGTCCCTTAAAGACACCTTTTATTCTTGATTTAATTTCTGTTTACGAGTAGTATATACTAGGAAACACATAGGGATATTTTAACATGAGCTTTCCCACAAAAATGTTAGTGGCTCATATACATTTCCTATTTATCTGTTTATTTCCCTCATCTTGATATTGATGACCCTGATGTTTCAAATGATCAGAGAGGTAGATTTATTTTAAGGTCTCTTGCTGCCTTGTTTCCAGTAGCAGGCTTGGTATTGACAAGCGTTCTGGTGTGTAGTCTTAAAACGAGGTAGGTGCAGGTTCAGTTCTGTCTTGAGTGCGTATTAGCCATGTAATCTTGGGCAAATTACTTTTCTGTCTTCATGAGTTTAAACATATACAAAGATGTTGGCATTTTTCTTCTCTTCCATTTCCCCTAGTTATAAAACAAGGAAGTTTGTCATTTTTAAAATGAGAGAATGAGACAGATCTTTTGCTATTATCAGCTCAAGAATATGAGCTCTTCTATTTCCTCTTCATCTTAAAATTCTTACATTCTAGAATACCCAAAAGTGTTGAGATTTACCATTGTCCTTTGAACTAAGGAAGTTGCTATCATTTAATACTATATGTTTGTTGTATTTGTAATTCAAAAATTTTTTTAAGGCAATGTCTCGCTTTGTAGCTCAGACTGGACTTAAAATCATATAGTCCAGGCTGGCCTTGAGCTCAAAGTGAGCCTAATGTTTTGACCATCTTTGTGCTGGCATTACAGGAATATGCAAATATGCCTAGTTTAAAATTTTATATTTTTCAGTTTGTTCCACACAGCAGCAGAAGTAGCCTTTGTTTACCATGTAATATATTTTTCATTGTTAAACATTTCTGGATTTTGTAAAATCTTTTTTTTTGGTACCGGGGATCGAACTCATGACCTCAGGCTTGCCAGGCAGGTGCTTATGCCACTGAGCTAAATATCTGCGATTTTGTACAGTCTTATTTATTTGCATGTTTTAAGATGGCATGTTCCATTTAAATGGTGAATAATCTGAAAAGTCTAATTTGACTACTCTAAAACAGTATTTTGGATTTTTGGGGATTATCTTTTGACATTAATTCAAAACACGTAAAATTAGTACTTAGTTAACAGTATCCACATTTTAAGTGTTCACCAGCCACATTTGGCTAATGTTGTCACATTGAACACCACAAACATTTCATTGTTGCAGTAAGTTCTGTTGGACAGTAATGGTATATGGATCCTCTTAATTATAATTTCCTCTTTGAACTGAGAACCCTAATGCTCTGGGGCCTTCATTTCTGAACAGTTATTAAAGGAGTACCATTGCTTTTATAACAATTGGTGTTGTTTTACTGGTGACTTCGGTAGCTAGTATTTATGTTGTACTTTATTACATATTACTTTACTACAAGAGGCATTATTTCCATTCTCGCCACATACCCTATTTGAGTACTTTACATATGTTAATTAAATTCTGCCAATAACTCTGTGAGGTCAGTACCATTATTTTCCTCCTTTCACAAGTGAGTAAATAGAAGCAAAGTTAAGCACTTCAAGCTGATCAGGGACAGGTCTGGGTTTCATATGTACTGGTAGGTCTTGCTTCAGTGCCCGCAGCGCTCTTAACTGTTAAACTCCACTGCCTCTTAGCTATCAATATGTATTGCATTTCAAGGGTTTAAAAAAAGAGAGAGATTTTCCAAAGAGATATGTAATTGGGGATAGTGTAAAATAATAAGCACAAAAGGGAAATACCAATGCAGGAAATTGTGGTGGGAAAGTAATAGAAAACCACTGATTTAATTTTAAAATATATTGTATATGATTGAAAAAATCTTGTTACAAAAAGCAGTAGTTCTTT